CTGAGCATCTTCCTCTTGTCTGGATCCTGTCGACTGTAATGAAGCATGTCGGGGCTGATATAGGCGTCTAGGACGGCGGTGGTTGCCAGCTCAACCATCTTCTTATGGCACAGGTAATGTTCATGAATTGTCTGTGAGGTCTTGCCGCGAATGTCTCTGCAGAAGGTACTCACAGCTGTATCACCCTGCGGCTTGCCGGCTTCTCCAGACGTCGTCGTCGTTGATTTTCCCTCACCTTGCTCGAAGGGAACGAAGATTTCGTCGGAATGACAGCCGCATACGGAAAAAATATGATTTTGTTTCTTGTTGGCGACGCAGTCCTCAAAAGTGTAGTTATACTCCACGAACTTTGCTCCACCTCTAAAGTTTTTATACCTGCGAAAGCAGAAATGATCCATCCATCACGGATACTAGGAAAGGTAAGTGTAAGGATTCAACAAAGAAACAAGTACTTCTGATCCTACTTCTGGATGGGTAGTATTATGTAACTGGCTTGAAGACTAATTTAAATGGGTAAATGGTAAATTCATATTGGTGGTAGGGATGGTGGTGGTTGCTTTGGAGTTGGTGGTGGCGGTTGTGAATAAATCGGGAGTGGGGGGGACATGATGGATGTTGACACAAAGAACGAAAAGAATCTGCTCGACCGATAGCACAGTAATAGAGCTTGAAATTTTAAGAAACACTTTTCGACAATATGGAGATGCTAGTTTATTTATTGTCTAGAATATGGCTGAAAGGCCATCAAAGTCCCCCGCTGCCAACAGCGGGGAGAAAACAAATTTTCATCGGGGTCTCATTTTGAGGGGACGCACCAAGCGAACGTCTTGGAAGGCGCTTTAGTCAGGCTGTAGTAAACATCTTTCAAACAGTCAACGCTCATGTACCGTTCCCGAGTACTCCCATCCTACACGAAGAGATCAAGGATAATCTGCTGGTCCAGACCACATCTATGTGCATCTGTTCATTCACCTGCTCCTGTAAGGGAGTATTATATTGGACGTACGAGGCGACGTTTGTCCAAAACAGTACGAGAACATCGTCCAGCATGGTTAGGAAAGGGTCAAGTAAAGAACATTGACAGGTTGCTCTAGCGCATATGGTGGACTCAGATCCTCGCGTTGATGGCAGGGAGACTTTCCAAATGATCCGTAGATTGCCCTCAAGTTACTCAAAATTCCTTGGGCAGTGTCTGTTGGCTATAGCAAAAGGGGCTGCAATCTGGTTATATAAACTGGTCCCATGCGCCCAAAGTAACTTCTTAAAGGTGCCGCAGTTACCATGGCCTAACGTTGCCAATTCCACCGACCGTAGCTAATTACCTTTCCCAGCGGCCGGTTCCCTCTGACGTTAATCAGATTACTGACCCTAGCAAGGTCCTCGATCTTTACTGCAAACGCTCCCAGGCAAGCTGCCCTTTCGGTCTGACTGGAGCCTGTCTCCCCCAATCTGGTGTGGCCAATCACCACTCTGAGTCTGACCCATCAAGGACCTTACTGTGATGACTGCCAGGATCAGACACTTCGAATCCGGTTCCTTAGCGGCCGGACGTGCACTAGTCCAACAGTCTACTTCCTCCCACCTATTCTCCACTACTTCTGTACATTATAAACTATTCCTTCCACTTGACATCTCAATTCTTTTCCTTCACCACTGCGATATGCACGCCCAAATGGTCGCGGCTGCCCAGATCTCACATGCGGCAATGGTGGCGGACTAGGATACAATGTGGCAGCCTGAATTCGGTAGTGCTGCGCGTATTCACCCCCTTCCCCTCTTCCGAACCTTCGTCTAGTCGGGAGTCCAGCGCTGACTCATCCTCATACCTCTGCGCGCTCTTTCACTTTTGGGCCCCCGCTGTCGACGTGCCCGCGCCTGGAGCTAATCGATTCCTCGCGAGCTCTGACGCCAATACTTGCACTCTTTCCTGATTGGCTGATGACTGGACAAGGTTTTGCTAAGCCCGCTCGCAGCGACACTTTTACACCTGTGCAGC